AATGGCTGTTTACATACAAGCGTTCAGACGTCTGGCGATCACTTGTAATATGCGTGCGTTTGTGCGCCCCCCCCTGCGTTGCCGCTGGCGATCCCAAGCTCCGCTGTGTCGGACAAACTACAGTGTAGCCAAGCTGCGGTGCGGTGCGAATAGGGTTGCCACCTGTCCGGGTTTTACCCGGACAGTCCGGGTTTTGAATGATGTGTTCGGGTTTCATGAAAGCTGAAACCCGGACAGAAGATGTCAGGCAGACAGGGACAACCAAAATTAAGATAGGGGCTGCTGGTCACCCACTGAAAATAGTCTCGACTGTGATATTTGCATATGAATGGGTGGCGCTATTTACATATAAATAAGCCACAACTCATTCTCCCCAAAAAATGTCCGTGCGCCGCTAGAGTTATAGTTACATAGTATTTGAGGTTGAATAAATACACAGGTCCATCAAGTTCAATCTTTGTGTCAGACGTATGTGATTGTGCATGTGTGTGTGCACACGAGTGTTCGGGATTGGGTTTTTTTTCCCTTTGCTTCGCTTCACCTGCAGTGTGCCACAGCCCTTGAGAGGGAACAGGAGGGAATTCTGTTTTAATGCCACCCTTCCCTCATGAGAGTGACAGTGGCAGTTTCAAGTCCCCTCCCTGTATCTGTGTAGTGTGAGGGAAAGTTCAGTAAGGTCATGTGACCTTAGGGCTTGTTGTTGAAGTCTCACTCTCCCTCAGAAACAGGCCCACCAAATAAAGCTTGAAGGATGTCTGGGCAGTATGTTTTTGAGGCAGATGCAGTGAACATTGCACTCCACACATAACAGTCTGTAACACCATTTCGCCACCATGGTCCGCCGTTTATGATGCATTAATACCTGCTGCTAGTGTGTTTGCACACACACAGTGCTGATGCACCTATCTCGGGATAGCAGGCTTTTTTCATGGACGCCAAACATTCTAATTTCCAGCATGTGTCAGAGTGCCCACTTACATTGCTAGGCTCCATCAGAGTGCCCCTTTAGAATGTTTAACCCCATCACTGCCTCGCATTGTGGCTGCCTCTGGTAGTTTAATTCATGGTTTTGTACTGGTACATGCTGAACAAATCAGAACATGTAAATCCTATTTTTTAGCAATTTTCTTAATTTTAACAGTGAAATAACTGTTGCACTTTGCTATAGCGGTGCTTTGTAATATTGTTAATGGGTGGTTTGGCAGATTAAACTACGATCCTGTCAGGAGGATTGCAGATTACCACAAAGGATGTCATTGTGCAGCTCAGAATACATTCCCCACATTGCTTTCTCAACTGATCACTGAGATAACTTATCTCAGCCTTTCACAGCTGTTACGTGAGATAAGTTTTCTTTTCGCAGGTTATTAAACAGCCTGTGTGCAGCCGAGAAAAACAAAGAGATCTGCTGAGTAAAGTTAACTCGTGATAAAGCTAGTTTTATCACAGTTTATTAAACGTACACCTAAATTGGAAATAAAGCTGTGGCCTTGTCCTTTTTCAACTTAATTGTTGTCTGTGTCTTTTATGGGGTAAGTTTGATTATCAGCCAATTTGGTGTATTTCTCCAGGCCTAGGTTTCTTATGAGTCATGAAGGCACCTTGAATTAATAGTAAAAGGTAGCCTTGACTAATAGAAGCATAGCCTAATAAGTAGGTGTTAACTTCTATGTATATGTAAAATAGCTCCTTCGTGATTGGCTACGATCCTATGGTGTGAGCAGGTGGAGCCATTTTACTTTACAGGACTGCACAGTGACATTTCACAAGTGTATAGAAGACTTCAACACCAGAAGAAGTTGCCCACCCGCCCTCCCAAGTTGT